CTAGCAAATTAGGCTGCTCTCTGGCCCAGGCCACACCTTGCATAGTGCTCCTATCGTCTTTTGTTACTTCAAAGATCATTCATATATTGCCCGTAATGAATAGCCATTCAGCTCAGTGTTTACCCGTAGAATTCAACCACATTTTCCACGGAAATTTCTACCCAAAAAGATAAAAACGGTAGCAATGGAAACTGCGTGCGCAGGAATAAGTCTCAAAAAACCCGTTGCCCCAGCGAGGCGGTGCCTAGTCACCAGGACCACATGAGGTGCGCATATCCATCTATATGTCCTTTCTTTGTAATATTCGAGGCCGACTTGATCCAATCCACCATCACCGTATCGGGTGCTGGGTACGCTCCGGAAACTCATCGGATGGCTTTTCCTCCATGAACAAAGGCTGGTGATGAGTAGAGCTCCGACCCTACCATCTGATCTGATCGTGGCAAGCTTCATGATAATGGTGATAGGGGAATGTGTTGAGAGATGAAGACGATATAGACCGCGAAAGCGATTGGGAGTCCTCGTCGAAGTGAGGACTTTCTTACTCAACCTCAGATCTGCAGACTCGACAGTGAGAGCTGGAGGTTCGCAGGGAACACCATTGGCAGGTTTTGAGAATATTCCTCTTAGATTGTTTTGATTTTCATAGTAAACCAGAAGATTTACTGATTTCTCTATTTGATCAAATCTTGCTCATAATCACTATCCTGGGAGCTATGGCAATAATTATCAGTCTTAAACAACTAGCCACAGATCAGCCAGCCCATCAAGGCCATCTTCGTAGTTACCAATGTATTATGACATATTTCGATTGACTTGATGCCAGCGCTGTCAATTTCAACTTTGCAGATCTATCCCTTAACACGGTTATCACACTATTGCACCATTCAACTTCGATCGTGTTTACAGTGTTGCCTGCACTCTTACAGCCGAAGACATGTAGCGCACAATGTTTTTGAAATAGTCAAACTCGTGACTAGAGTTACGAATTTTACGTCATTGAAGGTTATATTCATCGTTTACGTGATCATATCCACGAACTACATCATGCCTATTTTTGTAACATTTTTACTCTGCAGCATTTATATTCAATGTATGTAAGTCGTTCACCAGCAGTGGGTTTGATTAAAAATTATTATGTAGGGCCGTTTTAAATCGCACAATTTATTCCCTAATTTGTGCCTCTGGATCAATTTAGGGCTAATTGATAAAACAAAATTATTCGCGGGAGAAATTAAGCGATTCATGATTGATAAATTGCTTTCTTTTCTTTTTTGTTTCGGTGAACGCCATGTATTGATTGAAGATAGATCGATAGTGATCAAAGATGTAGAGATTTGACCAATAGACTCAATTTTTTTGCCATGAATCATGTGAGAGAAGATAGAGGTGCAATCTTTATTATCATCGTAGAATCTTAGTACGAAGTAGCTCGTTAATTCTGTTATATTTTGTGGATTCCTCCACCATTGCTGTATTAGAAACATTGGTGCATTTTCTTATATATACTTACTTGTCGTAGCTATCTTCCATGTTGAAGGAGTGTCGGAGACAAGTTGTTGGGAATAGGTTGAAGGTGTGTTTTCTTTTTTATCGATATACGACTAAGGCATTTGATATTTAGACCATCAGGCAAAGACTAAATGATGATGGCAAGCGCCATTGAGTGCTTGTATATGATGATGATGATGATGATGAAAATTTATTCGTGACGGGCACAAGCCCTGCACTCAACGAGCATGACACGGAGAAGACTAGCTTCTCCGGCGACTATATATGACGATAACTCAGTTTGACATTTGGAATACTCATGTGATGAGTGCACTCGCTGATACTACTCGAGACCTTGGTGCTAGGGACTTTCATCCTTCCCTCAACCATTTATACCCACCAAAGGGAAAACAGGAAAAACCTATGGCTATCCTAACCTACCTCTATTATCTTGTACATAGCCGCCGCGCGAGATATGGCCTCACAGTCCTCCCTTTCTCGAGCGAAGTAGGTGTCCAGGCTACCCAGACTTTGATTCGGGGAGATGACGACCAGGAGGCGGACTAAAACACCTTCCATCGCTGCCTATTTTTAGAGTGTCGGTTGCACTATCCAAAATCGTTGCTTCTGCACCCACAGACAATCTTAAGTCGAAGACACTCGAAAAATGTGCATCCCAGCTGCCTGTCCTCCCTCAAGATGTGAAGCCCCATAGACCAAGGCCCGAGCTTTGTAGATTATGACTTAATTTCCTCCTCGCGGGTATACATAGCATCGTAAATGTAAAGTGGGAGATGGCCGGGTTTTGATGAGGCAAATGCCCGATTGCAATTGGAGTAACGCCATTATCGGTATTTGAGGCGAGGTGGTGTGGTGAGATTGAGGAGGACTCGCGTGAGAAAGATAGGTCCGACATTGACGACAAGTCGTCGATTTTAGAAGTGCTTGAGGTTGCTTTCGACTTCGATTCGGATGCGATTCTTATTAGTTATCCCAGATATGCAGAGCATACTGAGCGGTTACACAGGCACCACTAGAAGGTGAACTTGTGTGTGATGATGATTTATTTTTATTTTTATCATGACCGGGTACTACCCCAGCACCCAGAGGGCATGGCACGGGTAGTCCAGATCTATGACTCTTCACTACCTACATGATTGTTACGTAGAAACCTATACACACAAAACTAAAACATGTAAAAACACCATTCCGAATGTTCAAGCGCCCTGCGCTACACCTTAATTCTCGTGCCACACAGAACGGTCCCAAGAAGCATTGCAGTTGACCTTTACATCCCCTGTTCTCAATTCAATCTTGCTGTAACACTTTGTCACAGTTAAGAAGCGCCAGAATTTCTGCCATCCTTCTTGCCCTATCATATCCCTGATCGTAGGACGTAGTTCCTTCGTCTTCGTCCTCCATTTCTGAATAGTCGGGCGAAACTATGCAAAGTACCATGGCCGCTTTTCTCGGCCACAATTGCAAAGTATTTCTTGATTCTGGTGTTGGAACCGTCTATGATAGCTGGCGAAGTCACCATGTCCGGTCCTTGCTGCGATGAGGTGGTGATATGCCCATCGAGGTAGGGCTAGCTCCAGAGGGCTTTTGTCCGCGTCAGTAGGTCTAGATTTTCATACCTATTCGATCTGTTCTTGAGCCACCATTCTTCCGCAAGTTTTTGTATCCGGATGTTGACTTGGCGTTTGAGAGCTGCAAAGGTCAGAACTTCGTGACTTTCCTTTCAGATGCGATCTGGTCCCGGTCTGTTTCCATCCCGAAAGTGCTTGTATGTGTTATTAGAGATGTGATTTAAGCGTGCTATTAGCGATGCAAAGATGCAGGCAAATGGTAGGATATACATTGTTGGGAGGTGACCACATTCATCGACGGCATATAGTATCCTCGGCTGCTATGCGAAAAAAAGCATCTCCTATCTAATCTCCTGACCGGCAATAGGCCCCTTTTTTGTTTTGGCCCGTGATTGAAAGACGTGTGTCCTAGGCTAGCTTTAACCAGGTCTTGAAATGTGGGGCACCAGCACTAGACTCCCCGGAACTGTGTACGGGCAGTCGACCCTGACAGCGAATCGAGGAGCAATCCGATTCATCGGGTGTCAATCGTGTGACATAGGTGATAGTGGGACTCTATGTGGCAACAGTTGGTAGTAACTTGCGCCCAGTCCAGGGGGATGCTTCAAGCCTATAGTAACTCGGACCTCCGGCTGCCGGCGCCTGATGTCTAAAAATAGGCTAGCTATTGAAAGGGACGGACTTTGAGCCTAAACAGATATAAGAACATGATGCCTAGGGAGATACTAAGGATCATCTGTGCTTCACTAACGCATTTAAAAGAGCTGCAACATGTAGAGGCATGTCCACAGCAACGGTAGCTATTTCAATTGGAACATAAAAATACTGGAATGCAGTTGGGATTTTCTTAGAGAGTTACATGGATATGGGTGCGTCTGGGATCCGCCTCTGATATTGGCTGCCCATTCATTTCGCTTTTTGCTGGGTAATTGACCCGTGAATACCCCCATGTAGAAATGCCCCGATAGTAGGGGCAGATGTGATCATCTTTCCCACGACTGCTTTCAAGTGCAGAGGAAGATAATGCGCGAGCCGAGATCATCGAAGTTTCGCCTGATGGCTGCACGAAAAAGACTAGGGTGCAAACAGTACAGGGTAGTTAGAATCCCACAACACATGTACGCAAAATTTACTTTCATAGATACTAACATCTCTGAAACCGTATACCACAAGCCCTTGTGTAGTTTGAAATCCTCAATCTTTAGCATCTGAGAAGTGCAGTATCAGATTCTCTCGAATTTCCTTTCGTCCTCACGGTCATCACGTCTAGATATCTTGCGTGATTGATTTACACAACCCAACCTACGAACATTCTCAGAGCGACGCGTTCAATCCCGCCCCTGGTGTGTCTGCAAATATATGAAATCCATACAAACAACCCATTCTTCCCGATGCCCGCCTCCGTTGCTCAACTATCTAGTCCATTTATGGCCAGGGGTGGGGTATAATAATGGACTCCACACACAGACTCACTTGCCGATTATTTGCTTGTTTAATATTTTCACAGCCGATTGTGGCATCGGCCGCTTACCTTACTTGGCCCACAACTGGTGTTATTCAAGTCTTGCAGTATCGGCCAGGTAATCTCTTATGCCGCTACTTAATGCTGATTTCCCTGCCCGACATTATTAACTGACCACATATACAAGAAGTGGAGTTGACTAGCCGGCGCCGTGCCTCAGATCTCACTTTGAATCCTTAGGCTGATCTCAAGCATCGCACTTGCCTTTGTCGACTGAGGCATTGAATTGGACTGTTCGGTTCATTGTGTGCACAGACCTAAGCCTATCGAAACATCATTGAAAAATAGCTAGCTTGGTCCACCAGAGTATTTGGCCAGGAACTTTTAAGAAGACTTCTCGTTCTCATCATAACAACGTGGCCAAATATTCTGCGTACGACTAGAGAGGTTTTCCCGTAATGTCGACATCCTTTCAAATACAAGCGCCTGTTCCTGAGATACTGGTCGAGAAGCTCACTGATCATCTTGAGACCCCGTCTTTAGACGACCGTTCATACAGAGTTATAAGACTGTCTAATCAGTTGGAAGTTTTGTTAGTACACGATGCCGAAACCGACAAAGCTAGTGCCGCTATGGACGTCAATGTAGGGAATTTCAGTGACGAGGATGAAATGCCAGGCATGGCGCATGCTGTTGAACGTCGGTCCCACACTTACCCATCAACAAGTTCCGTACTAACCCTTATTATGAACTAGATCTTCTCTTTATGGGCACGAAAAAGGTACGGCTAACCTCTTCACACCATTCCTCTATCAACCTTAAAATTGCGAATTCAGTTTTGGAAATCAAATATTTTTGATATAAAATTTTGAATAAATCGAACTACACGTTGTAGCGTCTACAGTCAAGATTTTGCTGACAAAATTTCAGTATCCTGTAGAGAACGCCTACTCTCAGTTTCTTTCTGCCCATTCAGGTAGCTCTAATGCATACACTGGTGCAACATCGACGAACTATTATTTTGAAGTGGCTGCTAAAAAATCAGAGGAAGCCGGACTAGCCGAACCATCACCTCTCTATGGAGCACTGGATAGATTTGCTCAGTTCTTCATTGACCCTCTTTTTCTTTCATCTACCTTAGACAGAGAATTGCGAGCTGTGGATTCTGAGAACAAAAAGAACTTACAAAGTGATCAATGGCGATCACATCAACTCGACAAATCGCTATCGAATCCTATGCATCCGTATTGTCATTTTTCAACCGGGAACTTTCAGGTCTTAAAAACGGATCCCGAGGCAAGAGGCATTGACGTCCGACAGAAGTTTATGGACTTTCACAAAAAGCATTATTCTGCCAATCGTATGAAACTTGTTATCCTGGGAATGGAGTCTTTAGATACATTACAGTCTTGGGCGGTAGAATTATTCGCTGAAATCAGAAACAAGAACTTGCCGCAAAATCGCTGGGAGGATGAAAAACCATACAGAGAAGAAGACCTGATGATGCAGTGTTTCTCAAAACCTGTCATGGACTCTAGGCAAATGGAACTTATATTTCCATTTATTGATGAAGAGTTCTTGTATGAGACTCAGCCAAGCCGTTACCTCAGTCACCTAATAGGACATGAGGGACCCGGCAGCATAATGGCATGCATTAAATCAAAGGGTTGGGCAAATTCTTTAAGCGCAGGTATGTCTTTGCTGATCGACCTCTCCTTCCTGCACGTCAGAATCTTAGTCATCAATCATACGCATAGGTTTTATCAATTACAGCTGGGGTTAAATCTTATTATTTTCAACCTCCCATGACACTCCAACTAACAAGAGTTTCAATAACTTACTATATATAGGTGCATACCCACTATGTCCAGGGACGCCAGGTATCTTCAACTGCCAAATAAGGCTCACCGAAGAAGGATTAAAAAACTACCGTGAAATTGTTAAAATATTCTTTCAGTATGTTTCTCTTTTGCGTCAGACTCCACCTCAAAAGTGGATTTTTCAGGAGCAGGCCGGTCTAGCAGACCTTGGTTTTCGCTTCAAGCAAAAAACTCCAGCAAGCCGATTCACTAGCAAAATAAGCGCTGTGATGCAAACACCTCTACCCAGAGAGTGGCTACTCAGTGGCCATAGTAGGTACGTCATTAATTTGTTTCAAATCTTCATGTATGATGTAGCAGACGCTAACATACATCTAACTTGAAATCTTAGGCTTCGAAAGTTTGACCCAATTAAAATTCAAGAAGGCTTAGCATGTCTACGACCAGACAATCTCAGAATTATGGTCGCCTCACAAAACTACCCTGGGAAATGGGATCAGAGAGAAAAGTGGTATGGCACTGAATATACGTATGAGAAAATACCTGACGATTTCATCGCCGAGATTAAACTAGCCAATGAGGCTACCTCGGAAACTCGTCTGACTGAACTTTACTTACCTCAACAAAATCAGTTCATTCCCACTAAGCTTGAAGTTGAAAAGAAAGAAGTCAAGGAGCCCCTCATTGCCCCAATACTTATTCGTAATGACGATCTAGTAAGAACATGGTACAAAAAAGACGATCAGTTTTGGGTTCCCAAGGCCAATCTTTTTGTTAATTGCCGAAATAACCTACCTGATGCGACAGCAGGAAATTATCTCAAGGCACGACTGTACACCGATGCAGTTAGGGATGCTCTCGAGGAATACTCGTATGATGCTGAACTTGCAGGTCTTGATTACTCAGTCTCAAATCATTACACCGGAATAGAAATTGCCGTTTCTGGCTATAATGACAAATTACCAGTTTTGCTTGAAAAGGTGCTTGTCACTATGAGGGACTTAATTATTAATATAGACCGTTTCGAGATAATTAAAGAACGTCTTATGCGAAATCTAAAGAATTGGGAATTTGGTCAACCTTACAATCAAGTTGGTGATTATACAAGATGGCTTGGTAGCGAGAAGAGTTACATTAACGAGCAGCTACTTGACGAACTACCAGACGTCACAGTATCTGATATTGAGCGTTTCAAGCTACAACTCCTGGCACAAATGCACCTCGAAATTTTTGCCCATGGAAACCTCCATAAGGAAGATGTTCTTCAGCTCAGCCAAACAATAGAAACGATACTGAAGCCAAAAGTACTGCCTCAAATACAGTGGCCAATATCTAGATCCCTTATACTCCCACCGGGTGGTAATTTTGTCTATGAGAAGAACCTCAAAGACCCAGCTAACGTCAATCACTGCATCGAGTATTTACTCTATATAGGAGACAAAGCCATACGTCCTCTTCGTGCCAAAACGTTGCTGTTAGATCAGATGACAAGCGAGCCCGCCTTTGATCAGCTACGAACAAAAGAACAATTAGGATATGTTGTCTTCAGTGGTGCTCGTACGACTGCAACCACAATCGGATATCGTTTTATAATCCAAAGCGAAAAATCCCCTCTGTACCTTGAATCTAGAATCGATGCATTTCTCTCGAACTACGCAAGTATATTGAAGGATATGTCTAGTATCGAGTTTGAAAGCCATAAGCGAAGTCTTATTACAAAGCGGTTGGAAAAAATGAAGAATCTCGATCAAGAGTCAGGAAGATTATGGTCTCACATCGACAGTGAATACTATGATTTCGAACTGGGTACGTCGCTAACTCTTCCTTGACTACTACGCTAATTGAGTCTTAGCTCCCAAGGATGCTGTTGAAGTTAAGCTTTTAACAAAAAATGATATGGTCGATTTTTTTAATTACTACATCTGTCCAGCCTCTCCTACAAGGTCTAAATTAGCAGTTCACCTTAATGCTCAACCTGTCGTTAATGGTTCGACCACACCTGACGTCCAATTAACTGCTGACAAAGCTTTAATTAAAAATAAACCCGAAGAAGGTAAATCAATATCATTAGCGTCTAGCAACAACGGAAATCCTCCATATAAAATTACTGACGTTCGATCATTCCGGTCGATGCTATCTTTAAGCGCCGGACCCCAAGCCATAAAGCATGTCAGTGAATTTGAAGAGCTGGACTCGAAACTCTAATTTCACAACGTGGGTCAGTCTCATGGGTATAGGATTGTCCGATATTCGGGAACCAAATTCCGGAAAAATATTATTCAGATTTGATGCGGGTAGGGTTAAATTGGCGTAATGGTCAAAATCTTAGTGACAAAGCAGGGTATTGATCTGGCGTCGGGACTTGTCTTCAAGCTTTTTTATGATCAGTCACTTTCGCATGGGTTCCTCTACTGGAGAAAGACAAAAACTTAGATGTTCTAAAATAAAGATTCTAGCCTTGTCGAACGTACAAAGAAATTGCCTGAATGGGTAAAGCCGAGCGGAAGTAGGCTACCAGCTCCAAACCAGTCACAGTGCAGCCCCTTGTAATTAGCGATACTAGTCTAGATAAATCAAAATTTTAAAGCAAAAAGCTCGTGTCAGTGAACGTAAAAGGTAGATCACGACAAATTGGTAATTTTTTTAAGAGATGTCAGAAATATATCTGTAATTAATTGTTGAAGAGTAGCCATGGTAAGAATAATGTACTGTTGATTAATGGCTGAAGCTTGATTTTGGTATGCTTATAATACTGACCAACGACCAAGTTCTACAATTACGTTACATGTTACAGACCCTAGTCTAAACTTGCTAACAAACCAAGTCGCTTGTAAGCTAAGGTTTGGTGACTGATACTTCAAGCTCAATTTAAGTGTAAGTCACAACAATCGAGGAACTCGAATAAATGTAACAATACCAGTAAGTGGGATCATATTATGATGGGCTCTACCCGGATCGGGATTGGTCACTAGGAACACTCCATCTAGAGGTTTAAGCTGTAACAGAGTAGCGCTTTCGGAAATGCAAATGGTGCGCATTAGGAGGTATCAAGGGGGGTACGGAAAAGATAGAGAGTGTGGTACGTGAGAAGAGGTGAGCCGAAGAAAAAGTATGATTTTAAGCTGGACAGGGATGGGATTTAATACTAGTCTACGCAGAGGAGACAAAGGACACAAGACGACGAAGTAGATATGCTTTTCAAGGAAAAATTATTCATTCTCATTGGGTCATCGACTTCAAGTACCTCTGAATTCTTTAAACCCTTTACACATATGTAATTCAAGATCTAGCAATAATGAAGATCAACGATAAACCCAGGGAATCTTTGAACATGAATAATAAGAGTAGGACTGGAAGGATAGTGAAAACCCTCAGAAGTATTCAAAGAAAATGCTTAAAGCTTGTTGCAGGTGCCTACAATTCTACTAGCAGCAGAGTGCTAGAGCACGAATCGTCCGTCCTCCCTATAGGGATATACCTAAAACAAAGGAGGGTCCAGCACGCCGGACTATCAGATAAACTCCCAGTTCAAGAGACAATCCGATCGACATGTAAGAGGATAAAGCTGCCCGCAAACGGGAGAGAAACTCCGCATGCATTGACCAGGAGTAAAGATATCGCCGAATGGACAAGAACTTGCGTAAGGGAAAAGGATAAGAGAAGGCAGAAAGAAGCTGGAAAGATAGCGGTCTATCAGGAGTGGAAGGATTCATGGACAAGCCACATCAAGAAACACCGCCCTGGCCGACCAGCATCAGCCGATCCAGAACATTGGAAAGCGGCAAATATATTTACTGATAAGCAAACAGGCAGCGTCAAAATGAACTTCAAAGATACCCCCGTAAAAATCCACCGTAACCTAACCAGGGCCCAAAGCAGTGTCGCCATTCAGCTAAGGAGCGCGCATATCGGACTCAATTCTTACCTGTACGGAAGAAAATTACCCGGAGTAGAAAAGCCAAGCTGTCAATGTGGATATCCGTCGCAAAACGTCAAGCATATGGTGTTGGCGTGTCCGCAGTGGGCAAATGGAAGAGGCGACTTTTTCCGACGAGCTAAAGACAGGTCATTTGAAGCCATGATGAACAGTCCAGAAGATATGGCTAGAATCACACAGTGGATACCAAGCAAATGGTGGATAAAACAGTTTTGACTTGCAGGGGCAGTCGAGGTAGCAATGTCGGATAAAGTAAATAGATCTGGAAGGTGAGAGGACGGAATCCACACGGGCTGAACAGTGTACATTGCACTTCCTGAAGGTAAACCAAATAAATTGATAGGAACATAAAAAGACAGGATCAGGGGGTTTTCATCAAATTAGTTTCCTCCTTTGTAAATAATGCAGATAGTCACCTGCATGGACCCATAGGGTGCCTGATCGGGTTAATTGAAATCAAATTCAAAAATTCAATGTGTAGGACTGGCTGGTCTAGGTCGGAAACAAATAATAAGTTGTGTGTACCATGAGATTTGGTGACGTCCTAGCGATACATCTTTGTGGAACTTTAGCGACATTGAGGGAAGAATCTCACCCAAAAACAGATGCAAGGCAAAAGACGAACGAGAAAAAGGGGAGAACTGTTTTCATTTAAAGTACATGGGAATAGCACTTCATTAATTGGTGCATAGCGCCGGAAACGACCTAGCTGGGATACGTTTCATGCGATGCATCAAGGATCGGGAAGTCGAGCGACCGTGGATTAAGAGACCTCAACCGCATAGGAGCTGCAAAGACATCAATTAGTGATATCTTGGACGAAGCCGCTTCACAAGAACTTCAGCTAGCGCGTAGCGATGTAAGAACTCAAGAGCCTTAAACAATTAACAGGATTTGTTAAAATCGAACCTGGAGTATTGTGAGACTGGAGGTTCCTTTCACGGATCAGTAGATCTAAAGCTAAAAGCTAAGATATCATGAAGCAAGTGGGTATTGGATTGTAGCAGATAAGGTCGTATTAGCTTATTCAGGGAATGACTAGCACAGTACCATCAGTGCGATGAAATGGACACGTATCACTCTTGTTTAATCCAGGCTATCAAATGCTTCTATCTCTATATATAATGGGTCAGCGTATGAAAGGGGGTTTCCCTTCACGCAACATCTTCTTTACTTGCCCTTTGCAATACATTTGTTTACCCAACTCTTCTTCGGGAACACAATCTATCCATTTTCCAGTTCTTCATCAGCAAGACCCACGTGTAACATCTACCGCAATTAGCTGCTTATTCGTCTCTTCCTAGAGAAAACCTGTCACCCCTTCGACCCAATTATTAGCTTCACTTATCATCTAAAGCTTTACTAGACCATATAACGCACCCCGTGAAGCACCGTCCAACCTCATCCCTGGGAGCTCCCCAGAAAAGGTGGCTGAATTCCGTGGAGAGAGAGGTGTGTTTATTGTACTACTTGGGTCTATGACTATCTAGCACATTGGGCTCCTCTCTGGTTCAGGCCACACCTTGTACAGTGCTCCCTGCCTCTCATGTTACTTGAAAGATCATTCATATATTGCCCGTAATGAATAGCCATTCAGCTCAGTGTTTACCCGTAGAATTCAGCCACATGAGGTGCGTGTATTCACCTATGTCTCCCTTCTTCGTAATATTCGAGGCCGACTTGATCCAATCCACCATCGCCATACAGGGTGCTGGGTACGCCCCGAAATCTAATCGTGGTTAGCTTCATGATTATGGTGATAGGGGAATGTGTTGAGAGATGAAGACGATATAGACCGCGAAAGCGATTGGGAATTCTCGTCGAAGTGAGGACTTTCTTACTCAATATCGGCTCTGCAGACTCGACAGTGAGAGCTGGAGATTCGCAGGGAACACCACTGATAGGTGTTGAGAATAGTCCCCCTTAGTTCATGGAGAGATTGTATTTGATATGTAAACAGTAGGGAAGCAATGATAATATCAAAGGTTGGGAAAGCTCATCCTATATCCCGTAGCCAGCTCGCTTGCAGACTTATCACATCATTGGTATTTTATCTATTTTGAGTTTGTTATCCTATTGAGTCTATAGGCGCGCGAGGATATGCAGGTCCTCTCTACCAAAATTATTTTTGGAGTTAAGTAATTGTTTGTGAGGGGAGAAACGAGATCTCATCGCTCGAGTCGGCAGCTCCGCGAAGAAATTTTGATTTTGATTTTTGAACTATAAATTTGAATTCATAAACCTGACTTGACGCCCATGTATCCATACAGGTGGCTATGAATTCTACTTGGAGATATTTATATGAGGGGAAAACTTTCCGATATAAACCCCCTACTACTTCAAATCGAATTTTTGGTTCTTATTTAACCTACAGGAAGTGCAATGGGATTGTCATGGCTTTATAGCCGAATACAATATGAATTAAAAAAACAAGTGCAATGGGTCATTATTTCGTGATAGAACTTGGTAAAGTATACCTTGATATTCTGTCACGAGATAGGATAAAGACTATCATCACGTGGTATCATTTTAATGGCACTTGACATTTATTGTATATGTTAGAATTTAGAATAATTGGGGCTCTCAAGTAGGCCACGTTGTTGATAGATACGCGACTGCAAATTCTGTACTTAGTTTTACTTCGGTAGTGACTTGAATCAATGCGCTCTACGACCTCAATGATTGAGGGATCATTATTTCCTAATAATATATAATATTTCTCTTATCTAGTCAGGAGATCTTTTCATTTCTTGTAGACAATCACATCAACCAGATTTGAGCTCGTTGATCTATGTGGAAACTCGAGGGACAAATCCTTCCTTTTTCTTCCCGGGTTGAAAATGAATGCCCGTCCTGTTGGAGTTGACCCCGATGATGCTATGACTAGGGCCAGTTTCAATGGACGCCCTGGCCCCCTTTTGACGCCTTCTAACCTTTGGTTGGACACCGATGTGAACCCCTGGTCGTCTATATTTTTTGCCATTTTTGTATTTTGAGGTGCCGTTAGTGTATATTCCTCACTTCTTAAATATGAAGCTCTCTCCATGAATCCACACTGCGCCCTCTAGAAACTGGCCTTATAATCCGCGAAGTTCTGCCACGCCCCCTTCTATCAAGACATATGAGCCTTACCACAGCTGCAGCAAAGCACCAATTTCTTCGGGAAGTCCCTGGTATGATGGGTGCCCGCACATCTTCCACGTCTCGTCGCCTTACTGTAAGAGGCTTGGGTATGCCCCCATTGACTGCAGTTGAAGCACTGCTTTAC